CAGTAATATTTTAAAATATTGATCTATTTGTCTTATATTTTTATGGATAAACGTCTTTGTCTCATGATTGTGAGCCACTGAAGTGCACTGAACCTATTCATGCATCTTTTAAGATGTTTTGCTGTGTTAAAATTTTAGGAGAGAAAAATGCAAGTGAGTAACAGTTTAGTAGGCATTTATTACCTTATTTTGGAATTGAATTCTGTAATTTGAAAAAGTTCAGTTAAACATGTAATAAATACGAAGTAATCATATTGTTTTTTGGTCTATATATTCATTATTATCTAAGTAGCTGAATAATAAATAATGCTATTTAATCAGTAATTTGGTAGGTATTAGCTAAAAAGAGCAGAAGCAATTGGAACAGGATGAAAAGAATAATTTACTCATTACAGCCCCAAACAATCTGCTCTAATTGGTTAAAAGTAAATATACTGCTATTTTTGTATGATGGTGAGAGAGAACTTTGTGGGCTCCATACAAATAGTGCTGATATAAATAGTATTATGGTTTTCATTTCAAATTCCTCTTATTCATTGCTGGTATATAGGAAGATGATTGACTTTTACATATTAACCTTATATCCTGCAACCTTGCTATAATCACTTATTAAGGAGTTTTTCTGGTTCATTGTTTTGGATTTTCCACATAGATGATCGTGTTTTCTACAAAGACACTTTTATTTTTTATATCCTGGTCAGTATACCTTTTATTTCCTATTTCTGCCTTATTGCATTAGCTAGGATTTCCAGTACAATGTTTAAAAGCAGTGGTGAGAGGAGACATTCTTGCCTTATTCCTGATCTTAATGGGAAGGCTTCTAGTTTTTCACCATTAAGTATGATGCTAGCCGTAGGTTTCTTGTAGGTCTTCTTTATCAAGTTGAGGAAGTTCTCCTCTATCCTAGTTTACTGAGAGTTTTTATCATGAATCACTATTGGATTTTGTCAAATGCTTTTTCTGTATCTGATGATCATGTGATTTTCCTTGTTTATGTGATAGATTACATTCATTGATTTTCAAAGGTTGAACCAGCCTTGTATACCCAGGATAAATCTGACTTGGTCATGGTGTATAATTCTTTTTTTACATTGTTGGATTTGATTTGCTAATATTTAGTTGAGGTTTTTTGCATCTATAAAAGATTGGTCTACAGTTTTTTTGTTTGTTTGTTTGTTTGTTTAAAGACAGTATCTTGCTCTGTTGCCCAGGCTGGCATGCGATGTCCTGATCATAGCTCACGGTAACCTCGACCTCCTGGGCTCAAGTGCTCCTCCCACTTTAGCCCCCCAAGTGTCTGGGATTACAGGTGTGCGCCACCACCCCCGGCTAAATTTTTTTTTAAGAGACAGGGTCTCACTGTGTTGCCCAGGCTGGTCTCCAATTCCTGGCCTCAAACGATCCTCCCACCTTGGCCTCCCAAAGTGCTAGGATCATAGGCATAAGCCACTGCACCCACCCTGCAGTTTTTTTCCTTGTTTTGGTATTAAGGTAATGCTGACTTCATAGAATGAGTTAAGTATTCCTTCTGCATTTGTCTTCTGGAAGAGATTATAGAGAAGTAATATGATTTCTTGGTTTGGTGGAATTCATTTGTGAACTCATCTGGGCCTGGTGCTTTCTGTTTTTGAAGTTTATTA